TTGGTGATGGCGGCAGCATCGTGCCCATGGCCACTGGGCACCCAGGGGTTGGGACTGGGTGAGCTTTAAGGTCCCTTCCACCCCAAACCAGGCTGTGACTGCGTGACTGCAAAACACGATCCCCATTTGGCTGCAGAAGAGCTCTCAGCAGCGAGTCAGGCCCAGGATCAGGGGCAGACATTTGTGCAGAACATCCTGTCTCTGCTGCTGGCCTCGGCAGAGGCCCCTGCAGCCCCCTGAGGGCAGGTCAGGCCTGGAGAACAGCCAGGATCGAGGGCAGCACCGCCACCTCCTCTGAAGGAAGCCCAAGGGCTGAGGCTCTGCAGTCTCTCCTTTCCTTTCCTCCTTTTCCTTTTCCTTTTCCTTTTCCTTTCCTTTCCCTCCCCTGCACCACCCTTGGCTTTCAGCCCCACAGCAGAGCCCTTCTGCAGCCGCTTCTCAGCTCTCGTTGCTCGCTGGCAGCTGCCCGAGGCAGTTGTGCCTCTGCCGGAGCCAGAGCAACGGCCCAGCCCGTGCTGCGCTGTGTGGGGCGCTCCGATGGCACCATCGAGTGAGTGCAGGGCTCGGCAGCGCTGGCAGGAGCAGAGCTGTGGGCCCTGACCCTGCTCCCGGGGCAGACGCGGGTGAGCTCCAGCCCTCGACAGGATCCTCCGCCTGCACCGCCGCCATGACAGCGGGCGGCGCGGGGGGATGACGTCAGAGCCGGCGCCACGGAGGGGATGGCGGGAAGGGGCCGGGCGCGCCGAGACTGGGGAGGGCCGGGGGGGGGGGATGTGGAAAGGAAAACGTGGGATGGGAGCGGGATGGAAGAGGGATGGGAACGGGATGGGAACGGGATGGGAGAGGGATGGGAGAGGGATGGGAACGGGATGGGAACGGAATGGGAGAGGGATGGTGATGCGCGGATAAACTCCACAACTCGTTAAAAGTTGTAAAGTAGGAATGCTTTTATTCAGCGCTGAGACGCACGGGGATAATTCCTCAAAGCCATGCGTACCTCAGTGTTGTTTCCCTCTACATTTATCCTCTAAAGTTATACATATTCATAAGGTTGCACAACACGCCTATACATATTCATATCCTATCCCCGCTTCGTATTATAATGAGCCAGAAGGTCCTCTGCGCCTGCGCATCGCCCCCTCTGGTCATGGGCAGGGGTCTCAAGATGAAGTAACTGAGTCTTCCTCCTGTGGGTAGGGGTCTTCAAGATGAAGTAAATGAGTCTTCCTCTCCTTGCACTTTTCACCTTTCAGTCTTCACATATGGCCTTAGGGTTTGGCCTGGTATCCCAGCCATAAACCATCTGCTTCTCCCCTTGTTAGTAGATTCAGGCGTCTGCTTTTCCTTATCAATAGCTGCTTACCAAAAGGACCAAGTGTCTGCTTTTCCTTATCAGTAGCTGCTTATCAAAAGGACCAGGTGTCTGCTTTTCCTTATCAATAGCTGCTTACCAATAGGACCAGGTGTCTGCTTTTCCTTATCAATAGCTGCTTACCAATAGGACCAGGTGTCTGCTTTCCCTTATCAATAGGACCAGGTGCCTTTGTTCTGCTTAGCAGGCATTTACAACAGACAATACTTTTGTTTAAGCAAGCAAATTCCTCTAACCCCCTTGTACAACCCCCCGGTACAACCCCCTTGTACAATATCCCTGTACTACCCCCCTGTACATTGGTCAACCCTCTGTATCAATGGGAACGGGATGGGAGCGGGATGGGAACGGGATGGGAGCGGGATGAGAGCGGGATGGGAACGGGATGGGAGCGGGATGGGAACGGGATGGAGCGGGATGGCAGCGGGATGGGAGCGGGATGAGAACGGGACAGAGTCGGGATGGGAACGAGATGGAGCGGGATGGCAGCGGGATGGGAGCGGGATGGGAACGGGACAGAGTCGGCATGGGAACGGGATGGGAGCCGAGATGGGAGCGGGATGGGAGCGGGATGAGAGCGGGATGGGAACGGGATGGGAGCGGGATGGGAACGGGATGGAGCGGGATGGCAGCGGGATGGGAGCGGGATGGCAGCGGGATGGGAGCGGGATGAGAACGGGACAGAGTCGGGATGAGAACGGGACAGAGTCGGGATGGGAACGAGATGGAGCGGGATGGCAGCGGGATGGGAGCGGGATGGGAATGGGACAGAGTCGGGATGGGAATGGGATGGGAGCCGAGATGGGAGCGGGATGGGAACGGGATGGAGCGGGATGGGAAAGAGATGGGAGCGGGATGGGAGTGGGATGGAAACGGGATGGGAGCAGGATGGGAACGGGATGGAGCCGGGATGGGAGCAGGATGGGAACGGGATGGGGCCGGGATGGAGTGGGATGGGAACAGGATGGGAGCGGGATGGGGCCGGGATGGGAACGAGATGGAGCGGGATGGGAGCGGGATGGGAGCGGGATGGGAGCGGGATGGGAACGGGATGGGAGCGGGATGGGAGCGGGATAGGAGCGGGGTGGGAACGGGGTGGGAGCGGGATGGGAACGGGATGGGAGCGGGATGGGAGCGGGGTGGGAACGGGGTGGGAGCGGGATGGGAACGGGATGGGAACGGGATGGAGCCGGGATGGGAATGGAATGGAGCGGGATGGGAGCGGGATGGAGCTGGGATGGCAGCGGGATGGAGCCAGGTTGGGAACAGGATGGGAACGGGATGGACCCGGGATGGGAACGGGATGGAGCGGGATGGGAGCGGGATGGAGCTGGGATGGCAGCGGGATGGAGCCAGGTTGGGAACAGGATGGGAACGAGATGGAGTGGGATGGGAACGGGATGGGAACGGGATGGGAACGGGATGGGAGCGGGATGGGAACGGGATGGGAGCGGGATGGGAGCGGGGTGGGAACGGGATGGAGCCCGGATGGGAACGGGATGGAGCGGGATGGAGCGGGATGGGAGCAGGATGGAGCTGGGATGGCAGCGGGATGGAGCCAGGATGGGAACAGGATGGGAACGAGATGGAGTGGGATGGGAACGGGATGGGAGCGGGATGGGGCCGGGATGGGAACGAGATGGAGCGGGATGGGAGCGGGATGGAGCCAGGATGGGAGCGGGATGGGAACGGGATGGGAGCGGGATGGGAGGGGGATGGGAGTGGGATGGGGCTGGGATGGGAACGGGGTGGGAGCGGGATGGGAACGGGATGGGAGCGGGATGGGAGCAGGATGGGAGCGGGATGGAGCCGGGATGGGAGCGGGGTGGGAGCGGGATGGGAGCGGGGTGGGAACGGGGTGGGAGCGGGATGGGAGGGGGATGGGAGCGGGATGGGGCCGGGATGGGAACGAGATGGAGTGGGATGGGAACGGGATGGGAGCGGGATGGGAGCGGGGTGGGAACGGGGTGGGAACGGGATGGGAGCGGGATGGGAGCGGGATGGGAGCGGGATGGGAGCAGGGTGGGAACGGGATGGAGCCGGGATGGGAACGGGATGGAGCGGGATGGGAGCGGGATGGAGCTGGGATGGCAGCGGGATGGAGCCAGGATGGGAACAGGATGGGAACGAGATGGAGTGGGATGGGAATGGGATTGGAACGGGGTGGGAGCGGGATGGGAGCGGGGTGGGAACGGGGTGGGAGCGGGATGGGAACGGGATGGGAACGGGATGGGAGCGGGATGGGAACGGGATGGGAGTGGGGTGGGAACGGGATGGAGCCGGGCTGGGAACGGGATGGAGCGGGATGGAGCGGGATGGGAGCGGGATGGAGCTGGGATGGCAGCGGGATGGAGCCAGGATGGGAACAGGATGGGAACGAGATGGAGTGGGATGGGAACGGGATGGGAGCGGGATGGGAACGGGATGGGAACGGGATGGAGCGGGATGGGAATGGGATGGGAGCGGGATGGAGTCGGGATGGGAATGGGATGGCAATGGGATGGCAATGGGATGGGAGCGGGGTTGGAGCGGCATGGGAGCGGGGTAGGAGCGGGATTGGAACGGGATGGGAACGGGATGGGAACGGGATGGAGCGGAGGGATGGGAACGGGATGGGAGCGGGATGGAAGCGGGATGGGAGCTGGATGGGAGTGGGATGGGAACGCGATGGAGCCGGGCTGGGAGTGGGATGGGAACAGGATGGAGCCGGGATGGGACCGGGATGGGACTGGGATGGAGCCGGGATGGGAGCGGGATGGGAACGGGATGGAGCTGGGATGGGAGCGGGATGGGAACGGGATGGGAGCGGGATGGGAGCTGGATGGGAACGGGATGGGAACAGGATGGGAGCGGGATGGAGCGGGATGGGAGCGGGATGGGAACGGGATGGGAACGGGATGGGAGCGGGATGGGAACGGGATGGAGTGGGATGGGAACGGGATGGGAGCGGGATGGAGTCGGGGTGGGAATGGGATGGCAATGGGATGGCAATGGGATGGGAGCGGGGTTGGAGCGGGATGGGAGCGGGGTAGGAGCGGGATTGGAACGGGATGGGAACGGATGGGAACGGGATGGAGCGGTGGGATGGGAACGGGATGGGAGCGGGATGGAAGCGGGATGGGAGCTGGATGGGAGTGGGATGGGAACGGGATGGAGCCGGGCTGGGAGTGGGATGGGAACAGGATTGGAGCCAGGATGGGACCGAGATGGGACCAGGATGGAGCCGGGATGGGAGCGGGATGGGAACGGGATGGAGCTGGGAATGGAGCGGGATGGGAACGGGATGGGAGCGGGATAGGAATGGGATGGGAACAGGATGGGAGCAGGATGGAGTGGGATGGGAGCGGGATGGGAATGGGATGGGAACGGGATGGGAACGGGATGGAGCGGGGCAGTGAGGGGCAGTTGTGGGTGTTGGGGATCACTTGGGGAGCACATGGGGCAGTTGTGGGTCTGGGGCTGACTGGGGTGTCAGCTGGGAAACAGTTGTAGGTCAGGGAGATCTCTTGTGGGGACGTTGTGGGTCTGGGGAGTCACTTGGGGGTCAATTGGGAGGCAGGTTTGGGTCTGGGGAGCCACTTGGGGGTCACTTGGGAGGCAGGTTTAGGTCTGGGGAATCACTGGGGTGTCATTTGGGAGGCAGTTGTGGGTCCGGGAGGCCACTAGGGGAGCAATTTTAGGGCTGAGGGGATCATTTGGGGGCAGTTATGGCTCTGGGGGTCACTGGGTGAACACTTGGGGGGAGAGGTAGGTCTGCGAGCTCTCTTGGGGGGCAGGTGTGTGTCTGGGGTGTCACTTGGGGGCAGTTGTGTGTCTGGGGGGTCACTTAAGGGCAGTTGTGGGTCTGGGGGGTCACTTGGGGGGCAGTTGTGGGTCTGAGTGGTCACTCTGGGGGCAGTTTTGGGGCTGTTGTAGGTCTGGGAGATGACTGGAGGGCAGCTCTGGGTCTTTGGGGTCACTTGGAGGGCACTTGTGGGTCTGGGATTTCATTTGGGGGACACTTGGGGAACTGTTTTTGGTCTGGGGGTCACTAGGGGGTCACTTGGGAGCAGTTTTGGGTCTAGGATGTTACTTGAGGGTCACCTGGGGGGCAGTTGTGGGTATGGGGAGTACCCACAGAGCATGAGGTTTGGCTTAGAGAAGCCTCACTGCTCGTCAATGAGGTTGCAGTAGCGGCAGTGTCTGTCTCAGGCCTTGGAGTAGCCCCATTGCTGTGGCTGGCACTGCAGCAGCTGCTGTGCTTGTTGCAGTGGCTGGAATAGCTGCAGTGTTTATGTCTATTGTTGCCATGCAGTAGCCACTGTCCCAGTCACTGGGGTTGCAGTAGCCACAGGGCTTGTGGCTGGCAATGAGAAGCTGCAGTGCTTGTGGCTTGCACTGGAGAAGCCTCACTGCTTGTTGATGTGGTTGGAATATCTGCAGTGCCCATCACTGGAGTTGTAGTAGCTGCAGCACCTGTCCTTGGCATTGGAGTAACCCATGGGCCTGTCGCCATGGTTGCAGTAGGCACAGTTCTTAGGGCTTGGGTTGGAGAAGCCTCACTGATCGTCGATGAGGTTGCAGTAGCGGCAGTGTCTGTCTCAGGCATTGGAGTAGCCCCGTTGCTGTGGCTGGCACTGGAGCAGCTGCTGTTCTTGTTGCAGTGGTTGGAATAGCTGCAGTGTTTATGCCTATTGTTGCCATGTAGTAGCCACAGTCCAGGTCACAGGGATTGCAGTAGCTGCAGGTCTTGTGCCTGGCAGTGAGAAGCCACAGTGCCTGTGGCTCGCACTGGAGAAGCCTCACTGCTTGTTGATGTGGTTGCAATACCTGCAGTGCCTGTCTTTAGAGTTGTAGCAGCCGCAGCACCTGTCCTTGGCATTGGAGTAACCCATGTGCCTGCTGCCATGGTTGCAGTAGGCACAGTTGTTAGGGCTTGGGATGGAGAAGCCTCACTGCTTGTCGATGGCGTTGGAGGAGCAGCAGTGTTTGTCACTGGCATTGGAGAAGGCACAGTGCTTCTGGGTAGGGTTGATCTAGGCACTGCGTATGTTGCAGGCCTTAGAGTAGCCCCATTGCATCTTCCTAGAGTTGGAATAGCTGCAGAGCTGAAAACTGGTGGTGGAGCAACTGCAGTGCTTGTGCCTGGGGTTGGATTAGTCACAGTGCTTGTTGATGGGGCTGGAGTAGCCACAGTGCCTGTCCTTTGCATTCGAGTGGCTGATGTGTCTGTCACGGTACTTTGAGTACCCGCAGAGCATGAGGCTTGGTTTGGAGAAGCCTCACTGCTCGTCAATGAGGTTGCAGTAGCGGCAGTGTCTGTCTCAGGCATTGGAGTAGCCTTATTGTTCTGCCTGGCACTGCAGTAGCTGCTGTGCTTGTTGCAGTGGCTGGAATAGCTGCAGTGTTTATGCCTATCGTTGCCATGTAGTAGCCGCTGTCCCAGTCATTGGGGTTGCAGTAGCCGCAGGGCTTGTGGCTGGCAATGAGAAGCCACAGTGCTTGTGGCTCGCACTGGAGAAGCCTCACTGCTTGTTGATGTGGTTGCAATACCTGCAGTGCCTGTCTTTGGAGTTGTAGCAGGCACAGCACCTGTCCTTGGCATTGGAGTAACCCATGGGCCTGCTGCCATGGTTGCAGTAGGCACAGTTCTTAGGGCTTGGGTTGGAGAAGCCTCACTGCTTGTCGATGGCATTGGAGGAGCAGCAGTGTTTGTCAGTGGCGTTGGAGAAGCCACAGTGCTTCTGGGTGGGGTTGATCTAGGCACTGCCTATGTTGTAGGCCTTAGAGTAGCCCCATTGCTCCTTCCTAGAGTTGGAATAGCTGCAGACCTGAAAACTGCTGGTGGAGCAACTGAACTACTTGTGCCTGGGGTTGGATTGTCCAAAGTGCTTGTTGATGGGGCTGGAGTAGCCACAGTGCCTGTCCTTTGCATTCGAGTGGCTGATGTGTCTGTCACGGCACTTTGAGTACCCGCGGTGCATGTGGCTTGGTTTGGAGAAGCCTCACTGCTCGTCAATGAGGTTGCAGTAGCGGCAGTGTCTGTCTCAGGCATTGGAGTAGCCCCGTTGCTGTGGCTGGATTAACTGCAGCAGCTGCTGTGCTTGTTGCAGTGGCTGGAATAGCTGCAGTGTTTATGCCTACTGTTGCTATGTAGTAGCATCTGTCCCAGTCACGGGGGTTGCAGTAGCCGCAGGGCTTGTGGATGGCAGTGAGAAGCCGCAGTGCTTGTGGCTCGCACTGGAGAAGCCTCACTGCTTGTTGATGGGTCACTGGTGTTGGAGAGGCTGCAGTGGTCGTGCCTGGCACTGGAGTAGCTGTAGTGCTTCTGGTAGGACTTGCAGTAGCCACAGTGTTTGTGCCTGGGGTTGATCTAGCCACTGCAAACGTTGCAGGCCTTAAGAGTAGCGACAGTGCTCCCTCCTAGAGTTGGAATAGCTGCGTACCTGGAAACTGGTGGTGGAGCAGCTGCAGTGCTTGTGCCTGGGGTTGGATTGTCCAAAGTGCTTCTTGATGGGGCTGGAGTAGCCACAGTGCCTGTCCTTTGCATTCGAGTGGCTGATGTGTCTGTCACGGTACTTTGAGTACCCGCAGTGCATGAGGCTTGGTTTGGAGAAGCCTCACTGCTCGTCAATGAGGTTGCAGTAGCGGAAGTGTCTGTCTCAGGCATTTGAGTAGCCCCGTTGCTGTGGCTGGCACTGCAGCAGCTGCTGTGCTTGTTGCAGTGGCTGGAATAGCTGCAGTGTTTATGCCTATTGTTGCCATGTAGTAGCCACTGTCCCAGTCACCGGGGTTGCAGTAGCCGTAGGGCTTGTGGTTGGCAGTGAGAAGCCGCAGTGCTTGTGGCTCGCACTGGAGAAGCCTCGCTGCTTGTTGATGTGGTTGGAATACCTGCAGTGCCCATCACTGGAGTTGCAGCAGCCACAGCATCTGTCTTTGGCATTGGAGTAGCCCATGTGCCTGCTGCCATGGTTGCAGTAGGCACAGTTCTTAGGGCCTGGGTTGGAGAAGCCTCACTGCTTGTTGATGGGGCTGCAGGAGCAGCAGTGTGTGTCACTGGCGTTGGAGAGGCTGCAGTGGTTGTGGCTTGCACTGGAGTAGCTGCAGTGTTTGTGGCTGGGGTTGACGTAGCCACTGTACACATAGCAGGCCTTAGAGTAGCGCCATTGCTCCTTCCCAGAGATAGAGTAGCTGCAGAGCTTAAAACTGGTGGTGGAGTAACTGCAGTCCTTGTGCCTGGGGCTGGATTAACTGCAGGGCATGTTGAATTGGGTTGCACCAGCCACAGTGCCTGTCCTCGGTGTTTGAGTGGCCGATGTGTCTGTCGCTGTATTTGTAGTACCTGCAGTGCTTGTGGCTTGGGTTTGAGAAGCCTCACTGCTTGTCACTGAGTTTGGAGTAGCCACACTGCTTTTTTTGCCCTGGTTGGAATAGCAGCACTGCATGTTGCTGGAGTTGTAGCTGCAGTGACAGTCCTTGCCATTGGAGTAGCCACGGTGCCTGTTGCCATTGTTGGTGTCACCGCAGTGGTTGTGGCTGGTGTTGGAGTAGCTGCAGTGCTCGTGGCTTGTGTTGGAGTAGCCGCATTGTCTGTTGCTTTGATGTCAGATCTTGTCTCTCCTCACTGCAGAGCATGAGAGACTGAATCAGCCTTGCTCAGGGTAAGTGCTAATCAGAAACCACTATACAATCGGTGTGTTACCAGCGTTATCCTCAGACTAAAGCCCAACCTCACCACTGCCCCAGCTACAAGGAGGAGATATAACTCTTATGAGGTGTCCCTCTGACACCTATTGCTCTCCAAAGAACCCAGAAACCAATCCCCACAAGCCCCCCAATAACTGCAAAAGTCCCCCCAAAACACCCAACCTCAACAAACTCCCCAAACTCCCAAACCCCCAAAACCCCCCGCTCTCCGCAATACCCACAAAGTCCCCCCAAAAAACAACCCCCAAAACCTCAAAGTCTCCAAAAAATCCCCACAGGCCCCCAAAATCCATCCCAACCTCCCAAGAGCCCAAATCCCCACCAAAATACCCAACCTGCCAAACCCCCAAACCCCACACTCCCCCCAAGAGGCACCCCAGCTTACTTGCCCAGCTGCTGGCTCAGGCTGTGAGGGTGGAGGGCGGCTGTCTCCTGGGGCAGTGGATGTTTGCAGCCAAGGGTGGTTGAACACATCGTCCAGGGATGGCCTGTCGCGAGCTCTCATGGACAAGCACCACCTGATGAGGTGCTGGCATTCTGGGGAGAATCCCGGAAATGCCGCTCAGTTGCGGGAGGCTCCTGCCTACCTTGTGCCACCGTCCGCAGCGCCCGGGCCTGGGTGCGCTCAGAGCTGCACCCAGACCTCCTGCTCCATGACTCGGTTTGGAGGAGAGCAGGACGGCAGGACATGGGCCACCTCCTCCAGCTGACCAAGGGCGATCAGCTGCCACCCCCTAAACCCCGACCTTCCCCTGCTGCTGCGAAGCCAGGTACCTACCGACAGAGATCCGGCGCTGGAAGAAGAGCTGCCCGCTGACGATGTCCTCGCAGCACCGGAAGGGGAGGACCCCGCACACCATCTCATACAGCAGCACGCCCAGGGACCAGATCGCCGCCGGACGGCCGTGGTAGCAGTGCCAGCGGAACCACTCCGGCGGGTAGTACAAAGGTGTTCCTACAACAGGATACGGGCGCACCTCATTAGGCAGATGCCGCCTGCTCCTGGATTCTCGCCCGCGGATCCCCAGGGATGCAGGGGCCGCACCGGTGGCCCCACGGACGTGGGGACGCACACTCGGTGTGACCCGCCACCTCGTCATCAGCACGTGACTCTTGTTCACAAACTGCCCGGTACGGGAAGCACCCTGGGCTGTGGGCTCACCGCTAAATGTGGTGTAGACCGTGTCCCTGAGGAGGGTGCTGCAACCAAAGTCAATAAGCTTGACCTCTCTGGTGGCCAAGTTGATGATGATGTTCTTGGGCTTGATATCCCTGTGCAGGACACCGCAGCTGTGGCAGTGCCGCACAGCCACCAGCACCTGGAGGAAAATGCCCCGCGCCAGATCCTCGGGCAGGAACCTCCGTTTTTTGATGAAGTCGGAGAGGTCCTGCGATGGCTCCGGACGCTCCAGAACCAGCACAAAGGAGTGGGGCAGCTCAAACCAACTGAGGAGCTGGATGATGGCACTGCAGCCGGAGCGCACCTTCCTCAACATGGCTATCTCCATGGGAATGCGAGTGCCGCTGGGCTGCAGGGGGACCGCGGCACCGTCAGCAGGGCCGATGCTGGCCCGGGGCTCCTGGGCCTCCCTGCCTGGGATGCTCTGATGCCCTCCTGCCCGGCCCCACTGCTCCCAGGTGCCCCCCGCAATCCCCAGGGATGCTCTGGTGCACCCCTACCCGGCCCGTGTCCCCTGCTGACTCCACACCCACTCCCCTCACGCCGTCCCACTTTCCCCCCCGCCGGCCCCACCGGCTCACCCCCACCCGCTCTGCCCCGCACTGTCCCGGTGGCCCCGCGCACTCACCCGCTCGCCCCACGAGGAGATGCGCTCCCGAGCCACTCGTTTGATCGCCACCTGCGAGCCAAGGGCAGCGCTGGGCTGAGCTGAGCTGAGCCGAGCCCCGCCGCCTCCCCGGCCCGCCGCCGGCCCCGCCCTTACCGGGCTGTTGTCACACAGGCGGAGCCCCGAGTACACGGACGCGAAGCCGCCTCTCCCCAGCAGCGGTCCCACGCGGTAAAGCCGCTCGAAGCTCTCCTTGTCGTGCCCCGTGCGACAGACGCGGCCGCTGTCGCTGCGCGCGGGGTCCCCGCCGGCCCCCACCGGGCGCTCCGGGCCGAGCGGAGCCGCATCATTCCCGGCCTTTCCCGGCCGAGGCTCCGCGGCGCGCCGCTCCCCGCCGGTCCCGGAGCGCAGATAGGCCGACGGGTCAATGCGGGTCAGGAGGAGCACGGGCACCTTGCCCGACCGCGCTGCCGGTGACGGCACCCCCGCAGCAGCACCGCGCTCCGGGGTCTCGGGGGTCGCGGCTGCCGGGAGGCTGCGGGGCGGGGAGGGAGCGGGCGCTCCGCCGCCGGTCCGCGCTCCGCCGCCGGTCCGCGCTCTGCCGGGCACCTGTGGGTGGTGGCGGCCCCCGGCCGGCCCCAGGCGGGGCCGGGCCTGGGGGCGGGCCGGGGAGCGCCAGGGGGCGGCGCTGCCTCGCCAGACCCAGACCCAGGGGCGGCTCGCCCAGCGCAGCCACTGCCAGAAGCGGGAGAGGGGAGCGGTGCCGCGAGCCCCTGCGGGGGGACGCTGGGGGGACGGGGGAGGCACCATCGCGGGGAGCGGCGGAGGGCGGGCTCCGGACCGCCGAGGGCTGCCGCCGCCGCCGCCTCACCTGGTGCTGCTGCCGCTGCTCCTGCAGAAGCCGCTGCCGCTCAGAAGCCGCTGCCGAAGTCGCTGCTGCTCAAAAGCCGCTCAGAAGCCGCTCAAAAGCCGCTGCTGCCGCCGCCGCCGCAGCCTCGCTGTCAACGGCTCTGTCCACGCGCGCCCCGGGCGCCCGCTGCCACCGGGCGGAGCGGCCGGCGGGGGGGGTCTCGCGGCCGCGGGAGCCCGGGGAACGGCGGAGCGGGCCCTGCCCAGCCCCGCGGCCGGGCTCGTGCGCCCCCCGCCCGGCAGCAGCATCCCCGCGGCCGAGCCTTTGGAAACTGAACCTGAGCCTCGGGACCCTGCGAACGAGGCTTTAGAACTGAAACCGGAGGCTTTGGGAAGTCACAAGGAGGCTGCAATTTACTGCTTATTTTATCCCCTCTTTCCTTTCCACAGAGGTGGATTGAGAGGAGATTGTGATAAACACATAAATGTATTGGCTTTCTCAAATCATAGGCGTGCTCACGTGCAGGATATAACTGTACGAGTTTACAGTAACAGAAATAAAACACGCTAAAGATACAAGACCAGACAGCAAGTTAAAAAGGTTCAGATCTCTTGATCTAAATGGAGTCACATAGCAAAAGAATTTGTAAAGGTAAGAGAAGGTGGGGGGTGAAGCTTGGTATAAGGAAAGCTAGTGCCTGGAAAACATAGGGTTAAAGTACTGTTTAGCTTAATTTAGGCTGTAGAAAGAGAACAATGTTTATGTTGTAAGTCGGTGGGATGTAGTGGCCCCACTTAAACATGAGTTAATTGTTTCAGGCTGGTCTTCTAAAGGAGCTTTAAAGAGCGATGTTTGTGTTGTAAGTCTGTGGTGAGGTAACAGGCTTTAGTGGCCCCACTAAACATGAATGAGTTATTTCACACCATCCTTATCAGTTAGTTTCAGACAGAGCCTCCCAAGGCTCTGCTAGCTTGGGATACTCCTTGTCTGCCCATCCTGCAACAAATTTTGCAGGAAGGTCACACTGTTTTAAATCCTTGCTAGTTATCAGAATAATTACAGATATAGCTGGCTGTGTGGTTGCTGGGGGGCCCAACTGTGCCAGAGGTGAAAAGTACACCGTGAGGAAGACTGCTTACTTCATCTTGAAGAGCCCTGCTCACAAGAGGAAGACTGTTTACTTCATCCTCAAGCCCCCTGCTCACAATCACCACAGAGCAGTGCGCAGGCGCCAAGAGGAGGAGACTTGTGATAATAAATTCTGGAAGCTAGTTATAATATCCCCCGCCTATATGCGGGAATTATGAATATGCATGTAACTAATGTAATACTGAAAGTATATAAACCTGTACCAAATGCTAATCCCTTGCGCCTCTGGCTGCGGTCACGCTGTTGCTTTTGCTTTCTTGCCTTTGTCCCTCACTAAACCCTCGTTACCTCGTTTAGAGGAGTGAGTTCGTATTTCACAAGCTCAGGAAGCTCTTCCCTGTGAGGGTGCTGAGGCGCTGGCACAGGGTGCCCAGAGGAGCCGTGGCTGCCCCATCCCTGGCAGCGTTGGAGGCCGGGTTGGACACAGGGGCTCGGAGCAAGCTGCTCCTTCCATGTGGAAGGTGTCCCTGCCCGTGGCAGGGCTTGGAGCTGGAGGAGCTTTAAGGTCCCTTCACCCCAGCCCATCCGGTGCCTCTGGGATCCCATGGGGGGCGGCTCCTCCATGAGGAAAGGCCCCGCCCCTCACGGGGGTCCCGCTGCCCCCCGCCCACTGCCCCGTGCGCATGTGCCGGAGGCCGGACTACAGGTCCCAGCGTGCACCGCGCGGGGGAGCCGTGCGCTGATTGGCTGCGTCGGAGGCGGGCCCAGGGCGTGAGGCGGAGCTGCAGCCGGCAATGGCGGCGGCAGAGCGGGAGGAGGTGAGGGTGAGCGGGCGCGGCGCGGGTCTGGGGGGCGCTGCAGAGCCCGGGGAGCGGGGCTGGGGGTCTGCGGCCCCCCGAGGCTCTGGGCAGTGGGGCCGGGCGCTGCGGGGGAATGCGGGGGGCGGGTGCGAGCGCTGGGCAGTGGGGCTGCGAGATGGCTGGGAGTGTGGGGTGCTGCGAAGCCGGGGCATGGGGGGCTGGGAGCTGTGGGGGTCCCGCACCTTTCCGGCCCTGGGGATGGAGCGGGGCTGTTGTGGGGGGCCCTGGGGGCTGTTTCCCCCCGGGGGGGGAGGTGCTGCTGGGGCAGCCGATCCCCGGCCCCCGGGGGGGGGGGCGGGCCCGAGGTGTCGTTGACTCTGAGCCGGGTTTTGGCTCCTGGAGCGGGATGGGGAGCAGGAAGGGAAGGATGAAAAACCCGAGGGTGGAGATAAGCACAGTTTAATAACCAAAGCACAATGTACTAGTGCTGGTGATAGTGATAATGATGATAAGGGAAATAACAAGAAGAGAGGAAAAAAAAAAGAGGAAAAGGAAAAAAAACCCCAAGCTAATAAACACAAGTGATGCCCAATACAATTGCTCAGCACCCGCTGAGTGATACCCAGCCCAACCCGAGCAGTGATCCTTCCCTTCCAGATAACTCCCCCCAGTTTATGTACAACTAAAACGTCAGTGTGTTGTCAGCATTGCTCTCGGAATAAAGCCAAAGCGTTGCTCTCAGTGTGGTTTTCAGCAGCCCATTGTACCATTTCCATTTCAAGTCTCAGTGTGTTGAGAAGGGCCAGAACCTTTATTTGCCCTGCTGCTGATTTCCCCTGGTCATCGAGCTGAAGGCTTTAGATGTGGGAGCAGTTGATCTAGGGCTTGTTCATGTCATTTTATGCCATCTAAAAACTAAACGGAGTTTCTCTCATTAAAGCTCTACAAATGCCCTTTCAATCCTAGCGCTTTTAATGTATGAGATAGCTGTGGATGGCCCGGTACTCAGGCTACGTGTACAGCACCCTGCAGTACAAAATATGTATGACCTTCCTGGTCCCTGCGTGCGGCTGAAAATGAGTGTGGTGTCACAGGAGGTTATTTGAGGATGAACTGGAAATGTTCCAGGCCTTGTTTCTGGGGAAGTCTCTCCTTCCCAGGTTGTCCTGGTGCTCTGTGGACAGGCTCCTGGCCAAGTGTTGTCTGTGCAGGTGTTCCGGAGGCTCCGTGCTTCGTCACGCAGTCGCGTCCTGCACTGAGGTGACTCTTAGTTACTGCCGTAGCTCAAGCACAGGCCCTCGCCAACGGCTGCAGTCGCTGTGAGTGCTGGTTTTTGTAAAAACGTTTTTTTTTTGCAGGGGATTGTCTCTTCTGTGAAACGTTTGCATGGGATTTCTGTAGTTAAAAAAATACACAACTGCTTTGTTTTCCCCCTCTGCTTGCCTGTGGTGAGTAGGAAGGAGAAGGAGAATGTCTGGCAGAGACGGCTAAAGAAGAGAAAGGGGAAGAAACGAGCCCAGAGAAGCAGTGCGGAAGATGCCAGTGAAGAGCAGGGAGAAGAGAAGCAGCAGCCTCCAGCAGGGCAGGCGAGAAAGTGCTCCTCCCAGAGCAGCGTCCCAGAAAAAGGAAGGCGGCGAGAAGTTGGAGTCTCAGGTGGGCCTCCTGCTGAGGGAATGGGTCGTGGGTTTTGGTGTCTGACAAGTTGAAGGGTGAGAAGCAGTCTCTAGGTTCAGGCAGGCCTCGGTCAGACACAGCAGTGAAGCAGCTATTTATTTACCGTTTGTGCACAAACAGGTGTCCTGGCAAGCAGGCACACACAGCAAAGGCAGAACTTTGATTTGTATTTCCTTTCCCATCCTCAAGTTCCCTCCTTTGTTACCCCATTGGTTGGGGACTCCAAGGTTTACAGCCTCTCCGACGTGTATAATCTACGTGCTAACTGTCCCGCCTCTGGTTACACCTCCCCTTACTCAGTTTCGTACACCCCTTCCTCTTACTTCTTTCTTTCTCTCCCTTTAGGGTTTGATTTCATAACTCTCTGGCAGGCACATGGTACCCCAACTTACTGCTTAACTACAGCAGCAGTTTGCACTGGCTTAGCTTCATAGGGTGTACAAAGATAGCGTTCCTTTGTGGCACAGAGAGTGCCTGTTGCCCACAGATGCCGTTGTCTTTAAGCACAGAGTGTGCCTGTTTAAGTCACGGTATTTCAAACCCTATGTTTCGTTCCCTGAGTAACTTAGCCCCCGCCCCAATATTGCAAAGTCTTAGTATTACAAAACCTTAATATTGCAAAGCCTTATCCCGAATATGCAAACCCAACAGTGTTTCTCTCTCATGCGTGATTTTTCCCTGTAGGGAGCCTGCCATTTTCTTTTCACAGAATCATAGAATGGTTTGGGTTGGAAATGACCTTAAGATCATCCACTTCCAATTCCCCTGCCGCAGGCTGGGACACCACACGCTAGACCGTGTCGTCCAAGACTCCGTCCAGCCTG